ATACATATAAATGTATATACATATCACATTACCTACTGTAGACAGCAAAATCATCATCATGTTCAGTGGTACAAGGGCCATGAAGTCTTCACTGCTGAGCAACCTTTGTAAAGTGTATTGTGAGGACAATCAAGCTTAATTAGATTCATATTATAAAAGCACTGAAGGAGGTTCTTTCGCTATGGTCTGTATTGCTGCTTTTACAATTCTTTTAAATGAAATTTAGGAACTAAGCCAGTTTAATTAGGTAATGTTTATTTTACATAGAACAATCTCCAAAGAATATTAAAAAACCCAATCTAAAAACTGATTTTATTGCATTTATTTTCTTACAACAACAAAAAAAAAAAAGACAGGCACAATTTACGTATTCAAATACTTCGAACTGAACAGTGTATGTTCACTATTCAGATTTCCCCAATGCCACTCCAAAGGCTGTGAAAATGTAGAAAATGTCATTTTACACGAGGCAGTAGTGCATTTAATAGGAATGAATCACAAAATATTTTTTTGTACAGTAAGATGTTTTTGTCATTTTATAATTACCTATAAAAATTTTTTGAATTGCACCAAAAGTTTGCTTTACAATTGACAACTGCCACAAAATAGGCTTAGTATGTAACTAAGTATTTGTCCAAACTATCCCCTAGAGACAAATTAGGATTTCTTTTAGTAAATACTTAGAGTCTAATAAGAACTATATTATATATCCAAGGTCATTTAAAAATGTTTTAATAGGAAGAGGTTTATATATTCAACTAAAATCAATTTCTGCCTACCTTAAAATCCATACAACCACAATAGCAGAGCGTCCTAAACAATATTTTGATTTAAAAGTACCAACACCAATGAAATCTGGAACTATTTAATTTAATCTATATCCTATTTTTCTGCTTCATTTTCAGTGCTGAAAGGCACTGTGTACATTCCTTTGAACATTTGGTGTTTTAGGTTTTTTTAAAAGTTAAAGCGTCTACAATGACAAACTCCAAACGAATATTTAAAAGGAAAAAAAAAAAATACTGAACAGACTTCACACTGATGAATGCAGACCATGATAGTTGAAGACACTCATTTTCCATAGAACTTCTTATTCAACAAGAATATGAGCAAATTCACGTTCACTTTAGCCTTATCAAACATTTTCATTACAGCCACACCTTCGTACTGCATCTGAAGCAAATCCTGTAATCAGAAATAACATCATTAATCTCTGTTTGAATCCATACTTTACAAAAACACGATGGGGTCTTTTTCATCATATGATAACCATCTAAAGCTCCAGGTCCTTTGAAATTTAGAGAATTACAAGCAACTATTAGATAGGTGTAGAAAACATTACATGCTTTCTAGATCCCAAATTGCAGACTGTCAGTAACAGCAAACCAGAAGAAATACCATTTTCTGTGTATTTTTGTTTTCTCCTTGTTCTTCCTGCTTGCCACTGAACTAATGTGGCATTTGTTTTCATGTAGTTGCCCTGATATAGATGTTAACACAACTCTGTGCCCAGCATCCTACAGAAGCCATATAGTTATTCCCCACATGATCTGCTGCTCTGTGCTGATTGAACAATTCATGAATACATATAAAAAAAATCCAAAATAGTTTATATTTAAAGCAACTGTGACTGTATAGCAAATAAACAAAATTCAAACTCTACCTGGAAATGGAGCTGCACTTTTTCCATCTCAACCCCCAAAAATTTTGCTTTGATTTCAAAGTCACCCACTTCTTCTCCAGGTGTGATATCAAACATCACGTTCTTAAACCTTGAAAAAAAAAGGATAACTGATTATGTATGCTGTACAGTTTTATACAGTCCACAGCTTCTGGGAAAAATCCTGCAGAACACACTTTGATCATGAATAGTGTAAATAGTGCCAAATGAACCACCCCATCTCTCCTGCATAGAATGCACAGCTCTCTCTTTTGTATTGGGTGGGGGAAGAGGAGAGAAAGCTGTGGGAAGTTCAGAGAACAAAGATGATCAAGGGTCTACAGCATAGGAACAGAGCACCCAGATTTTTGCTCTGCTGTGCCCAACTGTCTCCCTGCAGGTGCATACACACTCTCCCCAGGTTTCAGTTTGCGTCATGTGGCTTCCTCTGCCTGGCAAACCCACCTGGAAAAAAACTGCATCTGGAAAACTTTTTTCCATGCAGAAGATGGATGGAAGGGTGCAGAGCATGGAAGGTTTTCACTGCAGTGGCCTCAAAATGGATGGGCACAAAAGGGATGTTAAGCTACCACATCTGTTCACCTTGCCATAATGAGGCAATGCAGAAAACAAGGTGTTTGGTTAGTAAATGAAAGTGACTGGTCAGTAAATGAAAGAAATAACTGCTGCAATTGCTTAACAAGTCAGTCAGTAGCAGTGAGTGTGCTGCTGGGCTTGTACTGGTTTCGTCTAGAGCTAATGCCAAAACAGACTTACTTAAATATTTCCCCAAGGTAATCATATAGTGAGGTACAAGGGAAAAAATGAATTATGACAATTATGCTTTATCAGTGTTCCGAATGTAAAAGTCTAAGGTAATTTTAAGTGTGGCATAGGAGATGGCAAAGGTTTCTTTTAACAAAATCCCCTTAAGAAAATGTTGATTAGAAAACACTCTGAATTTTTTATACCACACTTACTGGTTGGTTTGAAGATCTTCAATTTCTAAGATGACGCCTTTTTCATGCAGTCTTGCAGCTGTGTACTTTAATGAGGTCTGCTTCAGTTTTTTGCTTCCCTTCACCTCTTCTTTCCCATCTACTTTAATTGACCTCCGTGAATTTCTGGTAAGAGAACAAGAAAACGGCTTTTAAATTTATCTACCAGGTATTTTATACTTCAACTATTCTTCTAGCCATATTTAGCTTTCCTTCAGTCTTTGCTTTCTTGAACTCCTATTAATGAACAGAATTAACATTCAGAACAAATCTAAGAATTAGAAGGATTTTTAGCACATAGTGAATAGTTTAAACACTTTGACAATTTTGAATCAACATTTTTAGCACTTTTTTAAACTCTGTTGTGAAATGCAATCGCAATCCAAAAGAGTCCACCATCACTGTAAAATAGCACTTTATAAGCTTACAGTGACATAGGTGTTAAGTAAGATTGGCCATTAGAGTTCATTTTTGGATCAGTGAGGTAAGCTCCTGTTCATGTCAGTAAAGTGTTTTCATTTCGACACATCAGTGGCACTAATGGGGGCTTGCCCTCAAGTAACTATATCGTACCCAAAAGATAAGATTATTTAGGCATTTGGGGCAATCCCAGGCACAGCTACAGGTTGGGCAAAGAAGAGATACAGAGCAGCCCTGAGCAGAAGGACTTGGGGGTCTTGGTTGATAAGAAACTTAACATGAGCTGGCTCCAGTGTGCGCTTGTAGCCCAGAAATCCAACCATGTCCTGGGCTGCATCAAAAGAAGCGTGACCAGCAGGTCAAAGGAGGTGATCCTGCCCCTCTACTCTGCTCTTGTGAGGCCTCACTTGGAGTATTGTGTCCAGTTCTGGTGTCCTCAACAGAAAAAGGACATGGACCGGTTGGAGCAAGTCCAGAGGAGGGCCACGAGGATGATAAGAGGGCTGGAGCACCTCCTGTATGAAGACAGGCTGAGAAAGTTGGGGCTGTTCAGCCTGGAGAAGAGAAGACCGCGTGGAGGCCTCATAGCAGCCTTCCAGTATCTGAAGGGGGCCTACAAGGATGCCAGAGAGGGACTTTTCGTCAGGGACTGTAGTGATAGGACATGGGGTAATGGATTCAAACTAAAACAGGGTAAGTTCAGATTGGATATAAGGAAGAAGTTCTTTAAAGTGAGGGTGGTGAGGCACTGGAACAGGTTGCCTGGAGAAGCTGCGTCTACCCCACCCCTGGCAGTGTTCAAGGCCAGGCTGGACAGAGCCTTGAGCAACCTGGTCTAGCGTGAGGTACCCCTGCCAATGGCAGGGGGGTTGGAACTAGATGATCTTAAGGTCCTTTCCAACCCAAACCATTCTATGATTTATTTGCCCCTTTTGCATTTGAAAGACAAAGCATAATCCTTTTAATGAAGGAAGAAAATCAATAATTACTTCCCAAATGTTCACAATTTCAAAGCGTGCTAATATGTGTGAAGTAACACCAATTAAATTTATTCAAAACATGTATACATCTCAGGCCTCTTTCTGTAAGGTAGCTTTAAATAATGCGAGACTTTACTTTCCAGGTTTTGATTCAGGTTACAGTGATGACTTCCATTAACTTTCTAATCCATGGATTGTCAATCTGTCAGAATCAAAACTTTCAACTACAGATTTATACCTGCTCTCCCCGCCTGATAAAGCACACTGAAATACTGGAAGACAAGACAACTCAACTTACTTTCTTGTTAAGTTGTCTAAGCAAGTTTTTATGTAGGTGTTGTAATAATTAATTTGTTCTTCATAAAATGCTGTCTTGGAGTTAAGTGCATTCAAAGTCTGCTGGAGTTTCACCAATTCAGCTTTTCGGTGATGTCTGTATCTTCTTTGATTCCGGATATCCTAAATAAATCCATTAATGTAATTGCTTTGTTAATTTGATATTTTAAAAAGTATCAGCTTACTGCCATTCAAATCTATAATTACACAACCTGACCTAATTAATCAGAGAAAGTGTGAACTATGAACTGCCATGTTAGTTTTCATAAGCATGGTACCAATAGTAAGTACTACAGTTTATGTGACTGTACGGAAGACAACAAGCACATTGCTTCTCGTATATACAAGTGGCGGTAGTATGTTGAACTCTGTGATGGTCTCTGGGACATGACAGACACAGCAGTCATAAGGAATACATTGTCTTTATGCTATAAATGGAAGCTTTCTCACAGCTAGTTTCTGGTGAGAGTCCTAACAGATGAGATCTTGGGCTTCTACTAAGCAAGAACTAGCTACTGCTAAACTAGAGCTTGGGTTTAAGGTAGTGGTTGAGTTGAGGTACTTGAAAAAACATATAAGCATCTTCCAGTTGTAAGCCTTATCCCAGTTTTCAGATTGCCTTAATGGCTCAAAATAAAGCATCTGGGCTTATAGACAAGAAATAAAGAATGGAGCATTGAATATGTATGTAGAATGGTTTTATCTCAAGCAGAAGCAGATGCAGATATCTGAACAGAGTGGGGCTTTAACGTGGCACTGCAGAGTAGGTGCAACATGACATAATCATATTAGAGACTTAGCTCACATGAGTAATTTATTCATTTATATACACAAATATATTTGCAACTTTAAAAAATACATATTGATAGTATGTAAATCACTCATGTGCGTTAGGAGTAATTTACTTATGAATAAAGATAAACTGATATTACTTATGAGCAATTAAAGATAATATAATATTAGTCATAAGCAACTAAAGATAAGCCAGTACACTAAGATTCTTAGAGCCAATATTGGTGTGCATTTGGAGCAGGATTTGCCTATGTGTACACAACAGGCTCAGTGCTTTATCAACCCCAGGATGGCCACTTCATTGGCCCTCTCTTCT